GAGATGAGGGTGTTATAAGCAGTTGGCTGTTTGCACTTTTACAGACATTTGAAATTCTAAATTTAATTTTCTACTCACTTCAAAAAAGATTATGCATTGTGTCAAAAAGTTTGAAATTGTAATTCAAAATAAATTCGTTTATACTGTCATCAAAAAATTTAATAAAATATTGTATCACAATTTTTTTTATAAACATTTTAAGTTCAAATTTGGATGAAATTAGATGATGAAGGTCTTTTTTCGGAATTGTTTCTTCTATACATCCATTTTATATCATTGTGTTTGTAATTTCTCTCATACTGTGACTTATAGATTATCGCTTAGGTAACCTAGTTTTTGTTTTGCAACATCTGCTAAAACTTACTGAATAAGACATAAGACTAAATATTGTAACTTACATGTTTACTTAACCTAATTAATATTTTTTATATTTATGCATGAGAGGTCTTTCCCTAGTTATATAATATTTAAATTTGACTAGGCAATAATCTAATAATTTGGGTTATGATGTAAAACATTACTGCGTTTCAAGTATACATGAACTAAATTCGATCAACATTTTGTTGTATATAATTTACTAAAACCGAAATGACTGTGTAGCAATCACCCATTGTCTGTAATAAAAAAATATTAGTAAATATTAATAATTACTTTCAAAAACCATAAATCTCCTATTTATTTGTTACCCACTTATAACAATTTATAAAGAACCGAGAAAAAAAACCTAACCAAATATTAATTTTATTATTTCTCATAGGTATTATATATATTTTTTAATTCTGTAAAAACCATAAAAATGAACAAATTGTATTTATTTTTCATATCTGGATTGAAATTCGTAGTATACGTTTTTCTTATAGTTATGCAAGAATATTAAAAAAGTATTAAAAAATGTATGAACAGATTTTTTTCTAAATGTTTGATGTTTAAGTATAACAAATAATTGTAATAAAATAAATGTTGTTATTAATAAATACCTAAATTATGTTTTATATTCCATAGGATTTTATATTCTATATTGGATCTATATATTAATATAGTATTTATATCATAATTTTTCAAACAAAATTAACATGTCAAAGTAAATATTGGATATATATTTTATTGTATTTCATTAAATTAAAAAAAATAATAATTATCAAATTGGTTTGTAGAATACTACTTCTATATAATTTGCTTTCGTTTATAATATTATTATGTTATAGAAGTGGTAAATGTTATATTTTGAATAAATAACTATATTAGACATAAGTACTTACTTTAAAAAACATTTCCAAGTTTACAATTTTGGTTCCAGTAAATTTTAATTTTTTGTGGTTTGCATTATTCAACTGCATTGTCAATAATATCAATTTTTTACATTTCATATCCATTTCGGTCCAATTACTGCTGTACAATGCGAATACAATTGAATCTTTCTTTAATAAAAAGAAATGGACGTAAAAATTATGATCGTTTAAACCTGGGATTTTAAAATTCATGGAATCCGATAATTGTTTTACAGCATGTATGTTTATAGTTTTTCTTCTAAAGTATGGAAAAATAAATTTCTACTCTACAATTTATCTCTGTTGTCTAGATTTATTAATAAATGTCATATTTAAATGTTACTGAATTTAGACAAAAGGCATAGATAGAGCGTTTCGTAATATTTTGATTGATAG